AAATACAAAAACCATAACCATATGACAATACATTTGTTATTAATGAGTGGCAAAAATATATATTTTTATAGACTCAACTCGGCGTATAATAACTTTACTATTATAACTTATATAATTTATCTATATTAAATACGTTTTATAATATGTTTTTAGATTGCTGAAAAATGAGACACGTCTAGGTCAGATAGGATAATTAAATTTATTATGTAATATCACTGGACCAGACGTGACCTGCAGCTGTAACCTGCTCTAAGTAGTCTAGGTACCTAACTTATTTTTTATAAGCTTTCAACAGTGATTGCGTCAGACTTATTTACCAGGAGGCAATATGTTTTCAATGATCATCGAGGGGGGAGTGGAGCTACGATATTTAAATATTATCATTTTCCCTCCATTTAATTTTGATAAACATATTATGTTCTCTTACAAAAAAACATAAATTATATAAATTATAGTAGATTAATACAAATTAATTATATTCTAAATACCTTAATTTTATACATCATGATTTAAGATAATAATAAAAAAAATATCTTAAATCATTCTATTCATAAATATATATTATATTATTATGTATACAATTATAATGTGCGCAGCAAAACAAATATAAGAAGGAATTTGACTCTATAGGCTATAGTTCCCATGCAAAGCCATCTCTAGCTTTCAACAAAAAGTTATTTAACGTAAGATCCTAACATGATGTAGCCTGCAATAGTATAATAATTATATACGAAACTTCTGTTGCAGTAATCACTCGCACAACAATCATTGATATTTTCACAATATACGAATATCTATAGTAAAAGGTGCTCAAGTATTCTTTTTATGGATAATAAATCATTTATTATTGTGTTTTATGTAACTTTTGCAAAGCATATGCCAGAAAAATTAAATGGTTTAATATGAAAACATTATTTGTATTTCAATGCGCCAAGCAAAATAATAATTATATCAAATAAAATATGACAAAAAACTTGTGTGATTTAACTAAAATCTAAACCTTTTAAGATACTCTATCACAGGTACGTCCTTATTGAAAAAGGTGACATTTGCCGCCACCCCCCCCCCCCCCACCCCAATTTCAAGAAAATTTTAAAGTTTAAAAATGAATAAATTTTGACTATATTTAAGTATAAAATAATAACGTTGTTATTGTATTCTCTTTTGCCTTTAATAAATACAGTCAACATATCGACTTTAGAGATGCCTTTATTCTACCATTAGCGTATAAAGTAAAATTATATAATACATGTATGAATATATTAAAAATAAAAATATTTATTGAATTCAACGACAGTAGCTTATATCTATAGCGGTATATCGGGAACCGTTATTCTAATTAGTATACGTAAATGTAAGTAGCAAAATAAAACCAAATAATTCACTCCCCATCACATTTAAACTTTATCCCATTCACTGACTATACTAAATAGTATAATTTATTAATATCTAATCTAACATCGTAGTCTGAATGTATTTAAAAAAAATAAATTTTATAAATAGCTCACACAAAACTTAAATAGCCGAGCCAAATACTACTGCAGAAATATGCTTGCTACAATTACTCGCCTCTTTAGTAATGTCGTCTCGATGCCCAGCAATACTGTGTATCATGCAAATATTCAATAATCTATAAGAAAAATTTTAAAATAAATTTTTAATAATTTAGCGATAATCGATATTATGATTTTTAGTATACTTGCAGATACCATATTGACCACAGGAGGTCATGATTTTTTTTTATTTTTTTATTTTTTTTCATTTGAGTTTTGACACCAGTACCTATCTACAGATAGAAAATTTATTAACATTTTCTGTACATGCTTGAAATGAAAACAACCTATAACTTAAAAAATATAAATTAATAATTCTTGTTAATTTACGAAATATATTTATAATTCAATTCAATTGAATTAAACAACTTCAACATTAATACTATTTTCATAAAATCTTTACTAGAAGCTGTAAAACCCGTCTTCAATTGCGGGCAACAATAATTTCTATATACTGTAATGTAATAATATTTTTTGTCAAATAAGATTAATATTATATTCTACAAAAATAGAACTCCCGCAATGTATAATTTGAATATCGACACTTTGAAGGTTTTCGATTAAAAACTGACATAGCGTTATTAGAACACATTCAAATATTTCGCTGATTTCGCGTTAAAATAAAAATAGGCTTACACACATATAAAGAATATATATGCGGTTTGTCCAACAACTAGGTTAGTGTGTCATCGAACAAAAATCTTCGCATCACAATACTTTACAAGGCTCTGTTATTGTTGATAATTTTTTTTAGCTCTTAATTTTTTTTGTTAGTTTCAAATTAAAGTAATAGTATACATTGTTTTGCAATCAACAATTAGGTCAAATTACTGCAAACTAGGTCAATTATAAAAATATTTTTGATTTTCTAGTAATTATCTAGATATAACTTATAAATGTAAAAATAAAACAGTAAAATTAGTTTTAGTTTTGAATTTTATCTTAGGTATTAGCTGTAAACAATACTGGTTATTGACTTTTTTGTTATAAATGTTTGCATAGTACATAAAATCTATGCACATTTGAATATAATAAAGTGCCAAGCACCTATGTTAAAAATATAAATGTGTTAAATTAGTTTTAAATATTTTTTGTGATTAAAATAATTTGAAATAATTTATTAAATGTGAATTTACAAAAATAAAAATTTGATCTGATAGTCGACAGTATGTACGAGTATCATAGATTATAATAAAGTAAATTGTAAATTTGATCCTGATAATTCGCACTGATAAAATTACGTATAGACACAACGTAATTCAATAAAAAAAAATGTATCTTTATTATGTCTTATTGTGTTCAAACTAAAATATTGAACGTTATTGGAAAATACGTTTAACAATAAAATAATAGTAAAGTATAAATTAATGAATAGTAGGGATGTATACCTACTACCTATAGTACCCTCTTAACTAAAATAAATATAGATTTTAAATTTAGTAAAGAGTGAACCTACTACTCGGGTCCATGCACTCAGTCCTCATACCTTAAGGTTGTATAATAATTCCTCATAAGATGGCTAAACAGATTTTGATGTGATTTTTTAATTTTTGTAGATTATTTCACGGAGAAAATTTTAGATTAAGGCATGAGAATATTATGGAATAATCACAACATGAAACAAATGAGTTTGAGGCGAATACTTATTGTATAAAATTGGGGTAGACGTTATACCATGTCATTTTAATCTATATAAAACGAGAAAGAAAATCGAAATTGCTTTTAAAATCTATAGGAATAAATAAATTAATCTAAATTATTCAGATAGATACCTTTTGTAACCATGCTGGAAGTAGCATGATAAATGTTCGTTGTAATAAGCTCTACTTTTTGCAGCCATCATGCAGTAGTAATATAACTATTATAACTTAACACAACGAAGCCGATATCGCTTTGTTTATATGTATTAAATTATAAAGTAGTGTTTTTTAATGAAATTAATAGTGCGCATTCTCACTAAATGATTCTTTGGAAGTTATAAATTTATGTGAATATTCACATTTCGTGGTAATAAAAATAAAAATAAATAAAAGTTATAATAAATTTAAAAAACATTCAAACAAATTATTAAAGTTATTAAAAAATGTAAATTGCATGGACATTGGCAGACATATTAACTGTAGCTATTGAGTTTCCTTCTTGATCAAATTATCTTTATATTGTTTATTCTACATCTATATATGTAATATATTATTTGTCTAACTAAAACAGAAAAAGTTGTAGGTATTTTGATAGCTCCACATTTGCAGTGATTACTGATTTACAAATACAAGTAGCAATGATTGTAGCAATCTTTTTTTAGGTATGTATAACGGTGTTAGCGATATAGCGCATTATTAGGTACATCAAAAATAGTGCGTCTTATTCCTACAACCACTGATTGCTAAACAATGAACACACGTACAGAATATATTCTAGATATATATATTATAATACGTTAATACCAACGTTTTATAGATATATGTCATATTATTAGGTACATATGTACCAAAACAATACATTCATGAAAGATTTCTGTACCACAACCCGAGTGGAGTCGGTTATTTCATATTTGTTCTCAATATTTTGATACGTTTAAGTAAGTATACGAGTATAGGTACGCGTATATCAGTCGACGACAATGGTTTAGTGTACCTACACTGTATATACATAATATTATTATTACGTCTTTTTTCTAAACAAATCCATTAAAAAAATGTTGATTATTCTTCTTTGTTCTTGAATAGTTCAGGGATAGCAATTGTATATATATATATATATATATATATAGCTACTGTAAAACCGTTGTCGACTTAGCAGCAACACTTTAATCGACACAGCGCAGACAAATTCAAAAAACAATTAAATTCGTTTGACGTTCTCGGAGGATTCCATATTTTTGACTCGTACAACGGTTTAAACAACGTATTATGTTCGGCTATACAGCCCGTACAAGACGCGATCTACATCGACTACAATATTATAATATATATATCAATATATGTGTATAGAATGAATAATATAATGATTATTTATGCTTGATGCGTATATACATCAATAATCTCGCGTACGATTATCGAGTATATAACGCACATTGATAGTGTTATTGTAATCGCTGTATTACGACAAATGTGCAGCAGCGAAGAAAACTATCGTAAACGGGCGAGGAACAGTAAAAACAAAAATTATCGAAAAATGTCTGCTGCATCGCACACACGCGGCCAAGCGCAGAGACGGGCCGCGCGTATTGTGAATAATTTTATTGTGATATTATAATATAGCCTAAATAATTTGTGCCGACTCAGATGCGCGCACGCACGCGCCACGGTGGGTCGTCGTCGTCGTCGTCGTCGTCGCGTACGCGTTCGTCCGTCGGGGCGTCGACGCCGCCGCCGCCAATGTCCAGTCCGGTGGGCGGTGACGTCAGCGCGGGGTCTCGCCCAATGAGTGGCGGCGCGGGCGCGGACGGTGTGCGGTAAAGAGGCGCACCGCGGTCGGTCGCTCGGCGAGAACGCGCACCCGTTTCGCTCTTCACTCACCCTGTCGAAGCCGTCGCGCGATAACCAGTCCACCCGCCGGAGAACACAGTCGGCGCCACAACGAGACCGCCGCACGGCACGACGATCGCTACCGCTGCCCCTCCCTAACCGCCACCGCAGTGGGTTTCGGTCTCGGAACACAATAACAATATTATTAGGTAGGTATCGAATCATTTCCGTTCCGCGACCAAAACGCCCTGCCGCCGCCGGCTGCAGTTATTACCGTGTCACGTATTCGCGGTATACACGCTACGCCGCGCGCGTCCGTTAATTAGTCGCCAGTGCGGTGTGTGATTTTTTTGTCTTTAGTATTATTTTAATTTTTTTTTTTTTTTTTTATTTTTTATCGAGACTCCCGAACGCCGCGGATTCGACGACCACGAAAATGGATCTTCCGATAACGACGGCATTTGTATCATCGTCGGCGGTCGCGAACCCTACGCGCTGCAAACAATGATCGTCGACTAATTACCTCCCGCAGTGCCAATAGAGAGCAGGTACGCTCGACATTGTTTACCTACCTGTACGACGTCGTGAATACGCGTGTGTGTATGATAAGTCCACGCGTCGAATGCTCCGCGGCCGGATTTCGTACGTTTTACATCCGCAATACCTCTATAAATACATATATTTATACCGTTCGGCTGACCCTCCCGCGCCCCACAAGGGTCATCGCGCGCTGCTTTCGGGCCCAATTCGAGAGATCTGCACAGTCTGAGGACTATATTTTATATGAGCTACTTTCCGGGCTCCGGCGATTTGGCCGGTACAACTGCAGAGAACTACAACTTTGACTCTCTCTCCAAAGACCGAGTAAGTACTTATTGCTTTACAGTCGAAACGTTCAGCGTAGATCATTAATTATACGCATTTATCGTTAGTAGTGTTAGTATGTCACTTACCTATACACACACACACACATATATATATATATAAGTTTGTATTATATATTTTGTACATGCAGATAATATTATGTTCAGTGAATTATGATAGGTACTGAATGTCATTGTTCAAAAGTTTTGTCTCTCAGAAAATGCTTGAAATTCTTTTTAGTTATTAAAATTAAAACAATGATATTGTATAGGGAAATCTTTGTCTTCGAGAAGTAGGTATATAGTATAATATTCTCCTAGTTTTTATCAACTCACATATTATGTATGGTAATTAAGTATTATATTTCACGATTTTTTTTTAGTTTAGAGTCGTTAAATTTATTTGGTAAGTCGTAATGTATAATACATAGTATGTAGGTATATTTAATAGACAAATAAAAAATAATATATACGACTATAATCATTACATTTATATTTAGAAAATGTTATATCCGTCTTACAACTTGAAATGCGAGAAAACTGTTTGTTACAGCAAAATAAATAAACATAATAGGTTGTTTAATACAATAAAAATGTAAGTTTAACATTAAGTTAATAATTTTTGTACAGATTATAAAGCATGAAATACTACTATTAATAGTCATTATCTTATATATGTTAATATTTTATAGATATAAGTGATATAACAGTTTAAACAACTTTAAAGACGATTATGGTACCTTCATGTATTTTTCTTTTCTTTGTCCCTAAGTAGTAGGTACCTATAAATTGTATAGTTCTCGTTTATTTATTTATTATTATTATTTTTTTTTTTTTCATTAAAACAATTCGTAAATATTTACAATAAAATATGTATATTTAATTATTAGGGAAACATTTTATTGAGGAGAAACCTCCCCTTAGAAGCACTTTTAATATACTATTTTTTTGTAAAATTAAAAAAGATGGTTGCAGACTTCTTCAGCGTTCCTTTTAATTTTATTTCATTAAAAATTATTCCAAACCATAATAACTTAAATACAATAATGCGTAATTAGAAAAGGGAAATTAAAATCAATTAACCGCCTTATTATTATCAACGATTGCATATTTCTTATTTTCATATCGATAATCTCACGTTTTTTGCATTCAATATCTTAAAAATAGAATGAAGAACCGATAACGTAATGTATTTTTGTAACAATTAAATTGATGAGTTGTTATTGTAATTTTTCCGAAATAAAAACGCATATAGAGTTTAAATGGACCTAATTTTAGAAATGGTTTTCGTTCTGTTTTCTATGAAAAAAATTAGCTGTGTGCGAGTATGACTTGTTAGAGTATTAGACAGACACACAATACAATATTCATATTACTGAAGTGACATCATCACATTGTGTCTATTACGAAACGTCCTATCCAAATATGTTAGCCAGGAGTATAAAAAATTTTTTTTCAATTTGTTCAATAGCGTACGGTCAACATTATTTTCTGAAAATTCATGCTATAGCATAGCGCACGTGACATAGATACCATGTATAATATTAAAATCATAATGCACTCATTGTACAAAGTGTTTTTTTAATTTTTATGATGTTTGATCTATTATTAAACATTATTAACAACGACTTAAAATATTACCTCATTAATAATGCATAATTTATTATTGGAAAATTTTATTTTATTTTGAATAGATATTATAATAGTATATATTTTAATATTTATGATTACATTTTTAACAGAATGCATTTAACAATAACTTATATTCGTTTATATGAATAATCATTAAGTTAATGTAAGCTATAATAATAATAAATATCAATGCGTACATGAACATGCATTTTTATTACGTAGATCATATATTCATATTTGAAATTGTATTTCGCGAGTGGACATCTGTATTATTTATCCTAATATACCTATACTGGCTACTTTTAAATTATTAGTTCCCTACTATAGAACTATAATATAAATAGCTGGAAATCGATTAAATTGGATAATTCCATACATAGTAGCTCGATTGAGCTCTTGTTTAAATACTTTTTAAAAGTCAATAATTAAAAAACTCTTTATGCAATATTGAATTTTAAATAGGTAAACTTGATGAATAATTTAATATTTTCAAAAAACGATTCTGATTAATATTTTTTTGTACATTTGCCCTAAAAGTTGTTACTGTAAAATTTAAGATTTACATTAAAATGGCTGTTTATTTATTTTTCGGATATTAAACATTCTTTATTTCAATAGTAAATAGGTAATTATAACTTTTTATTATTTTTGTATTGATAATTTCGTGTATAATATTATACTAGATAGTCATGAATAGGTATACTTAAATTAAAAGTGAACATTGTTCAGTAGCTCAGGATAATTTTAAAGTGAAAAAATAAAAATATAAATTTTACAAGAAAAAAATATGTTTTTAAAGTAAGTTACCTATTTAAAAATATTAAGGTGTACAATATATCTACAATTCAAACATTTTATGTAACTTTTAATATATTTTTTTAAATTTATTATTATTGATGAATTCATTAATTAATAAATTGTTTACGAAAATTCATACTTCTAATTTCAATAAAATTATTTATGATAGATCAGAAAATGGTCACTACAATTATTGTGAAATAGGTACCTACGCTATAATACTCATCTTTCTTGCTGTTTCTTATCTACATTTTAAAGTTATTAATTTAAAAAAAATTATAATCATTTAAAAGTAATATTATTATAAAAGTGTTTTGATTCAGATCATAAAATAAAAGGTAAAGATTACCATTAAAAAGTTGTTAACATTCTTAACAATATAAACATAGTACTTGACTATAAGGTAAGTAAAATTAGAAGTAATACAATAAATGTTAGAATAAAATTGCAAGCATTTTAATTTTTCTAAAAACAAATGTCAAATTACAGCTATAAAATAAATGTGTATATTATTTAATATAATCTATATTTTATTATTTTTGTAGTTTATAATTAAAGTGTCTATAAGTAGGTACTCGATATTTTTTAATATTTCTTATATTCAAAATATTTCTATGTACCAATACAAGTGTACGTGTATAAATAGGTAATTGATTACAATATCAAGTTTAATAAGTATTTTTTCTCAATTATATAGAGCCTTTAATATTTCATAAGGACAATTTTTTTATTGATTAATTTCAAATTTAAATTTTATTCTATATGCGTGTAAAATATATGTTACTAACGTATACATGAATGTTATGAAGTATTACGAATTATAAAATAACTCAACAAAGTGGAAAAGTTATAGGTACGTTTTTAAGGTTTTTCGATTATAATTTGCTTTAATTATGTAAATGTTTTATTTTGGGTGACATAAGACTATTAATAATTTATAATCATTAATTAGTTTGAAGTAACATGAAATACTATTATACAGTGTAATAATGAATTAAACGTTGTTTTAATGTATAAACATTATGTTTTTATTTACATCACATACCAATTCACGTAGATAATGGATGATATTATGTTTATTAATAATTCAAAAAAATCACACAGTAACCGGATCTAAAAAAATGATAATATTGGAGCTAAGGTTTTGTCATGTTGTTTATAAAATGTATACACAAATATTATTACTAACAGCACATTGCAAACAATTCTAGTATACCTATTGTGTAACATTGTGAGAACAACCTTCAATAATGCTGTCTATTTATTTATCTATTTGAATTACTAAATTTTTGAAATAATTTTCTTATAATAGATTACATGAATATATTTTCAAGTATAAATATTCGTTCTAACACAGTATTGTAATCAACAATACCAGAAATTTTCAACCGTTTTGGATCCACAGCATACTCTAATGATAAAATAAAAAATCCAATAACATAAAAACTTTATAGGAAAAATTCAATTAGCTATTATTTATGATTTTTAATATTTTAATTTTTTTAATTTTATTGAAATTGTTTTTTTATTTGCATTATTATAATTTAAATAAGCTACCAACTACTAACCCACCTATACTAAGAGTTAATAGTTTTTTTTTGTTTTTTTTTTTAAATCCGATGACGTATGATGACTTTTTGAAAAAAGAAAAACGATTCAATATTTATGAGAAATTTCTACAGGTTAAATAATAATCATATATGAACTATATAGGTTATAGGTAGTTGGTATTTTGGTAGCAGGTAAAAAAAAAAGCGTAAAGCAGATAAAATCGCTTTGCTATGTATAGTAGATATTGAGTGTACTTCATCATTAAAGAATAAATTTCTGGTCACTGTAATATTTGTTTTAAATTTGAATTCAATAATAAATTATTACATAAGAAAAACGATTCTGAGCAAAAACAATCTGTCATCATATATTACTAAATATAGTAAAATTACAAAGTCCCGTCTTTCTTTATTTTATTTCTTTTTGTTTTTTCTATTTTTTTTCTTTTGAAAATATTGAACTTTTTTATTTTTGATCTACCCAAATACCAGTTTGATCCAATTTAATATCTACTAGAAACCATTCCAAATTTAAAAATCAAATTTTCAGTCTAACTTGAGGTGATGACAGACAGGAAAAAAAAGTACATTATTGTAAAATATATAGGTGCATTCATTACACCGCTCAGAATCTAAAATTCCCAGTTTACTTCTTAATAACTGAAAAAAAAACTAAAAAATACGGGAACATTTAAATGTATACAATTTTTTGACAAAATCATTTTTTTTTATTATTATTTAAAAAACAATAAACGTACTGACTTAATAATTTATCCAAATATTTTGTATTAGCAATTTCTATGTAGGTATATGAAATAATTTTCAAAATATTTCAGCCCTTTTTTGATTTTTGTCGATAATAATTTTATTGTTCGGTCGTAAAACTTAAAAAACTAATGTAAGGTTTCTCACAAATGATTCTAACAACATTTAAACAATTTCGAAAATATTTTTACGATTTTTATATTCTGTTAAAGTTAATGATTCGTATGATTTTAAATTTCAATACTTTAAACATAAAAATAACATACAAAGTTTCTTATAATTTTTGTTATAAAAAATGTAATTTAAATACCTATGGCTATATCGAAAAAAATTGATCATAATTTTTTTTTTTGTCTGTGATAGAACTTTAACTGTTAACAAAATGTAAATTAATAATTTTTCCTAAAATGATTTTAGATACTTTGTTGTTATTGAAAAAATATTAATCGTATGGAAATTAAATATTACGTGCTATTTTTAAATTTTCACTTTCTGCACTCATTAAAACTTTATAAATAATTAGAATAATTTTAAGCTGATTATAGACATTTGAAATGATGTAACTATTTCTATTTTTTTTAAATAACAAAAAAAATGATTTTGTAGATAACATATTTTTATTTTTGTAAAAAAGCTTACAAAATTAACAAGAGGTTTTTTACTAGAGCTTTTCTCATAGCAATTTAATAATATTGTAAATACATCGTCACGATTTTTATATCAAGCGTTTGAAGTTTGAAACAATAATAACAGTGATTTTAGTTATTTAGTTGTAACTTGTAATTCAATAAATATTAATCTCAGATATCTACATTTGTTGTCTTTTTACATGTTATTATTTGATATACGCACAATTAAATTTTCAAAATATTTAGACTAATTTAAAGCAATTTATCCCACAAACTTATTTTCATACCAATCTATACAGTGTGTATTTCGGTGTATTAATGATTTAACTAAAAATTAGTTAATAACAATAAAAATATAGATATTATGTTGTAATTATTTATTATAAGAAAAACTAATCTAAAATTCATAAATTTTTAAGTATTACTTAATTGAAAATTTATTACTAAAAGTAATATAAATTTATTATAAAACGTCCTTATAGGATTAACTGATGCTGATTCTTTCGTTTGCTTCACTCAATAATTTTTATTCGTATGTAATGTATATACATACTATATACATATTTATCATTGGCTTTAAATTTATCCTCTGTAAGTACTCAATAATGAGGTAAAGTTAAAACCTATTTATACAGCAGTTCATGTTAATAGTGTGTTCTCCGTTCTCTCTCACGAATTTACGAATATTCATTTTATTTTATATTATATATACATAGTATTATACCTATACCTATATATTATGTGAGCAATTATAACTATAATTTTGATTATTTTTTTCTATAAATATTTTTACGTAATGATTGCATTAATATGTTAAATTTAATTAGACTATGAAATATTTCAAATAGGACTCTTAATTATTTCATTTTTAATTAAGAGTGAAATAGGGTAATTCACATTTTGGGAAATCTTATTTTCTTTAAACATTAAAATATTTAATAATTTTTGTAGGTTTTTTATAAAAAAATTGAATATTATATTTAACTGGATATTTCTATTAGTATACATGTTTTTTATTTATTTATTAGTTTATAAATATCCTTAAAAATCAAGTCAATTTAACATTGCAATGTTTATTATTTATTATTATTAAACAATAAACATATAGATACTCATAATTAACTCGTTAATGTAATCCTTACCCTTTTGTACTTATGTATGTCAACAATTTAATTTTTAGTAACTCATTTGAAATACTTTAAAGTACTTTTTGTATTCTGTGTAGGTATTTTAGTATTTATAAATTATTAAGTGTTGAACAATACTATTATATAACAATATAATATGTAGTATTTTATTATGACTAAAATAATTACACAAAATATTTCTAAATAACCCAACTAAAGATTAAATTACTACAAAAAAAAAAAACTAATTCATCATTTTATTAATAAACAACTAGGTGTATACATTTACTAGTTACAGGAATGAAATAGGTATAATTTATAAACATATTAAATGTAAATCGCTATATTCTTTTTTACTAAATTTTTATATAAATGGATTCTTTTTGACTTATATTACTTATTTCATAGCGATATTTATGCTCGTACAGTTATACTGCATGAATGTTGAGAGCACCAAGCTGTTCAACCAGGAAGCTATATGAGTTTATTATTCTCTTACGTAGTTATATAAACAATTTTGCCTGGCATGTGCAAATTAAAAATAAAACTAAACAATTGTTTGCTTAATCAAACCTCTACCCATTAAAAAGTAATATTGTTTTGATTATGATTATATTATATTTATCACCTAACCCTTGAATAACACCATGTGACGATGTGAGTCAGAAAATAAATTAAGTTAACTATTAATTATAAATAAATATTTAGTAACACAATAAAATCCGTAAGTAACTCAGTTTTTATTTAGTCCAATATTAATTTGTCTGATATTTCTCTTCTAAAATATCTACCAATAATGCTTAATAGTTCTTAAATATATGAATTTTTTAAATTAAATTAAAATATATATTCAATGTATAATATTTTACTAAAAAAAGTCGCATTCTTATATGACATGTTATCTACAACGGTTACCGTGATTTTATTCAATTCAAATAAACAATTATTAAAAATAATATAAACTATAGTAAGTACTTATATTTCTAAAATTTATAAAGTTCTTAGTTAAGAATTAAGATGAAGAATAATGTAGATGACAACAATTTATATCACGTATAACTATACGTTATAAATAAGTAAATATAGTTATAAATATAGTTTATACTATAAACTATACGTTTATTTATTTATTTATTTATAGTTTCTTATTTCATAGAAAACAATATATCTTGTTTTCACATTTAAAAAAAATCTGTAAATTATAAAGCCGTATTTTTTAATTTTAATATTATTAAAAATCTATTTCAGAATAACATTAAAAACGAAACAACCTATCTTCAAGATATTCGAGAAGATTGTTTTTACACCGAACAAAATACTTCGATGCGAGGTAAGATTCATAATATTATGTATATTGATATTTAATTTTTACTCTATGTATCCATAAACTTAATTAAGTATATATAAAGTTTATGAATATTTTATATTTCTTAGAATTAAAACTGGGCTCACAAGTTTGCCGTTTGATGTATCGCGTAACTTTTATCCTATTCTGATTGACTACTCATTGCTGTAATCATAGTATCTATCATTTGTTACAACTTACAACTATGGTCTACCGTAAAATTTCTCAGAGTTAGATTGAATTTAACTTTTGAACACGATACGACAGATGGCATAGCTGTGAACCAGGTTTTAATTGATAAGGATTTAATTTTAAAAATTTGAAGTATAAAATATTACTTAATGCATATGCGTATAGGTAAGTATTTTTTAGAAAGTCAAGGTCAACAGCTTTTACAGCTGTTACAACCTTTACTTATGTATATTTAAAATCCGATTATAAACATAGGTAATGTATAGCTCCTAATCGGAATCACAACTAACGAAAATTTATTTCAGTTTAAACTATAGTTCTTATAGGAGTATACTCAAAGATATATGTATATTTTATATAATTGTAAGTGTGTACAGTACACTTATAAACTTCCGAATAGTTAAGTAGCATTTGGTTGAAGTGTTATTCTAGATATCAACACATTTGTTTAATTTGGTATGTATATTTAACTACGTACCTAGGTGCATAATATATTATTATTATAAAGTAAAAGACAACTTAAAGTAATTAAATACTTCATTGCCACAGAAATAGTGAATCATTTTATCTGACTAACTATATTTGAATAGGTACCCAGTCTGAATTCTAATGTTAAATTTCCTATACAGTTATTAATAATTTGAAGTAGGTAGTAGTGTAGTACATAGTATATTTATAAAATACTTAGTTAAACATTAAAATACCTATAAATAATTTTCTAAAATAAGTGATCATAGAATCATATGTTTAAATTTTGCTTGACTAGGATTCTTTTTTAATTTTTTTTTTTTTTTTGTGTTAACTTGAGTGACCCGTGTGAGTAGGTGTGGTTTTTTATGCATTTTTATTTTTTATATATAGTGTTTTAAAATAATGGGTCACAGACTTATAGAAGAGAGGTGGCCCAGAAAAGGTAGTTTCGTCACGTTTCAATCATAACTCGGAAGGGGTGGAGGTATCGGTAGTAGGATCAAGAGGTGTTGGGAGAGGGGTATACTTAACAAGGACCATTTTAATGATCTGTTAAACGCCATGGCTAGTTTATCGAATTGAGTAGACATGTCGCCAACCAGCAGATATAGAATTAATACTTAATATTTTAAATTCCTATAATGTATATTGCAGATTTCTGCAATAAATGAATTAAAATTTTAAAAATACCTAAACATAATTTAGATATAAAAATATAAAATTGTATAATTTGATTATTTTCATAAATTTGCTTCAATATTATATTTTAGAATTTTTTATTATTTATATAGTTGATCTCTATAAATTTCATTAAATGTCATAGTTCTCAGAATTAATTTATTATATTACTAATAATTTGTGTATTTTTAATACGTTTTATCTCACACAATTTACTTGAGTATACGTTTTAATCAAAACAATATATTCTTTTAGGTATGTGTAATAATTATTTTGTTTTAGAATTAATAATAGTATGGAATCATAAAACTTTACTAATTGATATTTGTTGTTTTTTAATTTTTTTTTAAATTTAGAACTTATTTATGAGATCTATGTTATAATATAATATTAGTTTAAAAAAGTATGCTGTGTGGCGTTTTTACGACATAAAATCGAATAAACCCTTTTAAAACCTGTTGCGTTTAATGTTAGTTTTAGCGTATGCTGCAGTTTGCTGTCTTGAGGTTTTAAGTTATAATATATATGTATATAAGTAAACAATTTAGTCATTTTGTAATAAATAATATTTAACAGGATCTAAAATCGTTTTTAAACACGTTTTTATGACAACATTTTTTTTTATACATAATAGTCTATAATACGGCGTCTAAATAATTTATAAAAATATATAAGTATACATATTATATTTATACAAATTGATATTAATGGGTATATAATATATATAATAAGTAAGTACATAAAATTTAAATGAGTATTTTAACCTAAACACTATAATATGTATTATAACTTTATTCATAGTTCATAATAATTATTTTTAAATCTACGTAGGTACCTTAAAAAATATACTTATTGGTAAAATCTACACTATGTAGATACGATTATATGCATTTTATTTAATATTATTTTATAATCAGATTTAATATTTAATTTGGTACTATGTACATTATTATAGTTATTAATACTATTTTCAATTTGATGTATTAATACATATTGTTAAATTAATAATCCATACAGCTGACAAATTAATAGATATTTATTATTATAATTCACAATGGCATAAAAATTAAACTATACATGATTTGTTTTTATTAGGAGATGATACAGATATAAATGCTAACAACACCAGTGAAGATAAACGACCTAACTATTTTCAAGAGTCTCATCATATTTCTATGCACGAACCATCTACCACGGAGTTAGTGCCGTTAACTATTTATCCGGCAGAAACGGACTTGCAGTATGTACATAACTATTATATTCTTATAAGTTTTATGTATTAATTATAATTACAAATATGTTGATGTAATAAACATATATACATATATTTATGTTTAGAAATAATGGTGTTGTACATTCGGGAGACATTAGCAATAATACGGTTACTTCTTTGGGATCTCCCGAGGAACGATCACCGACGTCTACCGACCAACAACAATCACAGCAGCCAACTGCTACGACTTTGCCCTCAAAACCACCGTATTCGTATGTAGCTCTAATTTCAATGGCCATTGAAAATTCACTATATAAACGAGTTACGTTGTCTGAAATTTATAAATACATCACTGCTAAGTTTCCATACTTCGAGAAGAATAAAAAAGGTTGGCAAAATTCGATAAGACACAATTTGTCGTTAAACGAGTGTTTTCTCAAAATACCTAGAGATGGCGGCGGTGATAGAAAAGGCAACTATTGGACTTTAGGTATGAAGTAATATATTATATCAATAGCTTAGTTAATGCATGAATTAGAAATAGAGATAACACACAGATGATTTTTTTTATTGTTATTATTTTATCATCCAGCCGAAGAAATCCGAAAATTTAATTAAATACATTTAATTTTGGTCAGTGGCGTACCCAGGATTTTTCAATTGGGGAGGGGAAGGGGCTAAACAAAGTTAATTAGAATTTTATATTTTTAATATATTATATACATTACACATACCTACATATATTATGAATATTTGTAGATAGTAGGAATTTTTTTTAATACAAATGTGATAACAATAAATTGTATAAATTATATGAATTAATATTTTTTTATGACTTCAAAATATATTTATTTTTACCTTTTAGTTTTTTATTACCTGTTTCAATCATCTAAATACATTTTTCTGGACGTCTTTTTGAAATACTATTTGACTATTTCAAGTTAACTTGGTATAGTTATTTTTTATTAGTATTGGCCAAAGCCAATTCTTCTGACATGGTTGACCGCAGATACGTTTTTACTCGTTTCATTGTTGAAAACGTACATTCAGGTATGACTAAGATAACAGGCAATATTTGCCAATAATCACAAAAATATTTAAATGTTTGATATACAGTTGTACAATAGGGTAACGTATTATTAGCCGAATTTTGGTTTAAAATCCTTATTTCTCCATTGACATCTCCAAATGCGCTACTCTTCTTTAATAATAGAACTATCATTAATTGTAAGGTCTTGAACATAGACAAACATCCTTCAAAATAGTTTCATCATCGTACATATTAAAATTATATAGAACGAATTCCAGTAAATGTGTTATATATCACAGCCATTGATTAAAACGTACATGCAATTCTTGAATGATGTCTCTAGATCAGTTAATTTTACATTTACTCTATTTGTTTGCTCATATCCGAAGCATACAATTTAAATATTTGCAAAATCTGCTAAATTTGCTAAATTTGAAACATTCTTTTAAATTTTTAAGTGTTCATTTGCACCTTCTCAAAGCTCTTCTAATGCATTACCAATAATCATGACGTCGGATAATACTCCTTAGAAAGATCTTGTTTTTTGCCTTATAGAGAAATATTGAGTTGCAAAGTGTAGGCAAAACAAGTTACTGCAACTTTAAATTCAACGAGGAAATCATTTTCTGAAGCCCCTAGCCCCCTCCCTTGAGTAAACCACTGATTTAGGTGCTATAAAATAATTTTATAGAATTACTTGAAAAGACGCTATACCCACGTGTTATGTGATTTAGTTTCATCTATCAAACGTTGACAAATTTATTTTCAGAAATTCCAATTTTGTGTAGGTAGTAATCTTTAATAATAGGATGAATTAAACTATTATCAACCTTAAAGAAATAGGTTTATTACAGCATTTAAATTTTTTATCTAGTTGAAAGAGTTTTGATATTGTAATATTTTACATGCTCATAATTTACTTAAAAATCAAAATATTGTGAAAAAATCAAAATAGTATTCTTACCCTTAAGTTCGTTAATAGGTCAATTCACTTTGTTGTTAATTATTACTTGGTACACACAATATTGAAACCGGTGAACATAAATTAATTAAATATTATACGTTTATGAGATTGAAACACCATACGTGAGTGTGATAACCTAAGTCTTGTCATTTTGCTTAAAACAAAAATTCATTGAAAATTTATTTTTTTAATTTAATGTTTAATTTATTTTTAAATTTAGAACTAATATAATTATAATTCATTCCGGCTGGATCATGATAAATTAATTATTCTGTAGATAAATATATTATGTGCATGTTTAGTGATTTTAACACAAAAAATAATTAGATTGTATGTTTAATTTTAATACCTATAGGTAAGTACCTAGCTAATCATTTAATTAGATAGAAGTGCCTACCTATATAATATTGTGAGAGTCTTGATTAAATAATAAATGTTAGTTATAACTTATAATGATCGAAAATACCTATCAATAAATACGTAATAATAAATATTAATGTGATTGCAGTCCATAAACATAATATTATCGAGCAAAACTATTAATGGGTAATTCAGCTACCTAGTGATTATATATAAATAATGGTAAATTTATAAGTTTTTGGAAGTTATTTTTACGTATCGGTGTGTTATTCGTATACAAAAAACTTAATATGAATTAAAATATTTATAAATGTTCAATTAAAAATGTATGGAAAGTATACAAATTTGAATTTTATACATAATTTAGTACTTATAATTTATTATATAATACATTTATAAAAATTTAACAAAAAATAAATTCAAAATACAAGTGTTATTGAGAAAATAGGCGTTCTACCTTAAACCATATGTGTATTGCGTACCATTAAATATTAATATACCTACATATTATTTCATACCAAAACTTAGCTATTTGCAAATTTTAAATATTTTAATTGTACACTGGTTGTTTTCGTTTAAATAAATTGTGCCTATTTTAATAGATATAATAATAATATGGTAATATATTATTAGTAATTACTTAATAATTAAATTCAATAAAATAAAGGAAGAAAACAAATAAATTGTAAATATTTTAGCACTTTGTGCTATATTTTATTAATTTTTTAAATATAGCAATACAAATATTATTTTATTTGTTTTTTTCTCATCTATATATTTGTTTAATATTGTATATGAACCTATAGGTACTTTATTCATCTGAACATAAAAGTTTTTTTTAGAATACTTATACTTGAAATTATATTTCATATTAGATACGTCAGTATCATATTAAATAATATGTATATATATAGTAAATACTTAATTGTGCATTATATTTTTAAAACTTTGATTTTGAATCTTATTCTTTATCTTTCTGTAATCTTTTCATTAAACCAAATTAAAATAAACCAATAAATTAATACGTAATATAATAAAAACTATAGATATACTTGATATTTTATATGCAATTGTTATAAAATATTCAGCATTTATAATTTCGACAAAACTTAAAATATCCAAACTAGTTTTGATCAAGAGCGATAAAGATTTTAAAATTGCATGATTTTGTTTTGTTTGTTATTACATTGAAACGACAGCTGATGGTCGTAACAATGTGTGAAAACTGCTGTTAAAGCAGAATTGGGTATATGATAAAGATTTGTACGCGTGCGTTGTGCTTAGCTCACCAAAACATGAAATTCATTACGTTTCAAAAATATCACTATGTTTTATTTATTATTAGGCCTAATATTATAATCCAGGAAAAAATTTGAATTGCCCGCTTCATAAGCACTTTTTATTATTTAAATTATAGCATATACCATAGCCCATAGTTGAGTTATTAATTAATTATTATTATATAGAAATAAACTATTATTAATATTTAATTAGGTATACAAGTAGTACTTAAATATTTTGCTACGCATTGGAAATTTGAATACTACTTGCAGTATAGCTGGCATCTGGCCTAATTTAAATGCTTATTTAAATAATATGAAGATGATAGTTGCACATTTATTTGATAATTAAATATTCACCGTCATTACTATAAATGTATTATTAATATCGATCAAATAGGTATAGTAGGTGAATAAGTAATAAGTATAGATTATGGAAAATTTATGTTAGTTTAATAAATGTGTTAAAAGTTAAAAGGCTTTGGTCGGAAAAACAACGTTTTATTATGATGTAATCATGACATGTTTTGTTGTATACAATGTCATGAATACTTAACGACAATAATTTTATTGAAGAGAACAATTTTCAAGGCATTCGCATTATGGTTTTTTTATTGTTTCATAATTTTATTTTCATTAACAAACAAGTTTTTTGATTATTTAAATTTAAATAATTCTTATAGATACTACATGACTTTGTTATTATTTACTTTATACTTATTTATAATACGGTGTACTTTCAAAGATATTATATATATATATATAAATACTGCATTATTGATATCAATATTGAGTATAGCCTAGGTACTCTTAAAAATTAAAATAAATCATATTTTTAAAACTATTAATCAAAATATATTAACTATGCTTAATTTTAATTTAGTTATTGGGTTAAATTGAATTAATTGAGTACATGGTACGAATAACATATTTAAATAATTTATAATAATGATGAAAGTACAATTTATCGTATAAATATTTATTTATCATTTTTTACCTTAAAAACTAAATATATATTTAATTGATAATATTTATTAATAGTTATGTGAACATAGTTAATTTTTTATCACAACCTATACATGTTAGCCGCACTGTGTACGAAGAGAGAGGGGTAAACAGCCAATAAGACCAATTTAAATGATTTAAAACGTATTGGCGGAAAATAGATAATTATAGAATCTTTCTCAGCTTTTGTTAACAATAAATGGAAATATTTTATGCCAATGTGCCAATGAACTACTATAACTATTAGTTTTTTACCTGGTATGAATAACGTAAAAAAATAAATATATACATTCATTAGTCAAGAAAAATTAATTAAGTGGTATGCAGCTGGAGGCTCATTACTTGTATACAATGTAAGAATAAAATATAACATTGTTGTAACTATAAAAAGTTAAATAAACTCTCCTATTGATTCGACAACAAGAGTCCAATGTGATCGTGTTATAGGTTATATAAGTTACTGCATATACGTTCAACTATTAAATATTTAAATGTTTAGTTTTGCTATTAAGATTCAATTTTACTTTACTCATCAACAATATTAACATTGGCATCATTGTTTTAGATTGTTTTAATTTAGAAAAAAATAATTAAAATAATATTATGCATAATTCTGGTTAAACCCATTGTACTTTATGGAATGGAATGTAGCTATCCACCAAATCTGACAAAAACAAACCAATAATATTCCAGAAAAATATTTAGCCTAAAGAGAAATAAAGGTGACTATGAAATAAAATCAAATATAAAACTGAATACCTTAATATTTAGTAGACATTCTCAAAAGTTAAAGGATAAGATAGTTAACCTATCCTAAGCGGTCACACATAGAGAGCATATGAGATTTTTGATTAATTGTAAGGTTTGACGAATCGATTTTATATTTTTTTATTATTTGCTTTTATATTAGACTTTAAAAATAAAAATATTTTTTTTGTGAATTTAAATGGATATTAAATTGTTTTTAGACAAAATTTAATCAAATCAATAAAAACAATCACAAAAATAATATTATTATTTATTATTTTTATAATGAGTGATTTCATTCTAAGATTACTCAAAAACATAAAAAAAATATTTTGCATAAATAGATTTTGTATATTATGTTTTGCTTGGACTAGAAAGAAACCAAACAGTTCACTGACAACCTCTTAAAGAAGAAATATATATACTTATTAAGAGAACCATACTATTTTTACAATCCATTTTCAACTCAAAACTATTTATTGTTTCAAATATTAAAGATTTAAGTATAACATTTGACTAAACTTGAGTTAAAATACCTACTAATGTTTTTAATATAATTAATAAAGCGTTACCCTGAGGGCACTAAGGCTCCCTAAGATGTTACTATAATAATTTTACAATACAAAGTTCATTAAAATAGCTATATTACTCACTAGTTAGCTAATGCTTAGAATATAATTAACTCTTTAATTTTTATACAAAATGGACTTAAATAATGTAGATAAATATTATTTTCATTATTATATTAATTTAAACATTTTTAGATAGGTATATTGTACTTACATCGTATCTTTAAAGATAGTAAGTTTTTCAGATAATAATATTTTTTCACTGTTATTTTATAATTATACATCAAGTAAATTGTATTAACATACTAATCTTTTGACCTAGTTTAACATAAATGCAATGTTAATAATTTTTATTTTAAGTTTTAAAATTGTCTATTTGTTACTTAAGGTAGATATGTAATTATTTTTTGCAAATACATTTTATGTTATTTACTCGTATGTAATAAATAACAATTAAGAAATAATAAAGAAGGTACATTAAAAATCATTTAGAAAAGAAACAAGTATATAGGTAAATACCCATGCTAGGTTTTGTACTTTTATTCCAAAACAAAATAATATAAATAATTATTTTGATTCTTTCGTTATCTTTGAAATAATTTTCCCCTTGAGATACTAAAATTAGTTTCGACTTTTTCTTATTTTATATAAAAGTCTTTAATAAAATTCATTCTTATTTATAAATGTAGATTGTCGTAGGTAGTAGATATCATAAAATTAATTAAAATAAAAATAGCTAGATTAATAGTTTGACCTATTGTGGAAATTGAATGAGTTATATATAATTACAATAATATATATTTTAAAAGTACCGTAATAGGCCGGGAAGCACTTTTACACACTAAAACAATAGAGTAACCTACCTATTAGTCCCTAAGAAATTAAGTAGGTTATAATATTAAAAGATTATTATAGTTATCACAACATAAAACGCAAAAATTCATTTCTGTTATAAAATATAATCAGTAATCACCATTTCAGATTTCTTCAAAAACAAATAAGGAAATACAATCTTGTATTACTTTATTATTTATTATTGTAATTACATACATTTTACAGTGACTAATTCACTCATACCTATAGGTAGGTACTAGATATAGGTTCTTGTAATTTCAGAAAAATACTAAAATATTATTAAGTATTTTATAGTAGGAGATACATATTATAGAGTTGCATTGTATATTTATTCGTAAACTTTTATTTTTATATGTATCTACGGTTCAACATAACTTTATGTTTCATTTGGATTGTATTATGACGTTCTATACTTCTGTGTAAATAGACAAATAGTAAATACTGATTTATATCTACATGCAGTTGGATATTAAAAGTATATTAATATTATTAATATTTTTTATAATTATGAAATAAATAATTATCTTTAAAATTTATATAAATATTTAATTTTATCAACCATTGAACACAGAGGCGAAAAAGGTTAAAAGTTTGAAATGTTCGAGTATCTGATCCAAATTCAATAAATTATTGATAGAAACTCATTTAAGTATATGCCAATTAATATTATTACAAAGTTTATGACAACTCGTTCAAACACTAAGTTATAAACAATAAAAACCCATTTTCATATGTAGAACCTATAAGTATTTTAAACATTTACATTGTGATTGACATGATTAAATACAACTGTGAACATCACTGTAGTGTCGTAGTGAATATGCAAGAAGAAAAACGCTTTTTAACATTAAATAATATTAAATTACACGATTTAATAAGATCAAAAATATTAATAAATATTTTCATATTATAGACTGTAATATTGTAATCAAATTGTCGAATAATCTAAGAAATCTATGATTAGACCCATTTAGCCATACAAAAGTATGATGAGAGAGAAAGTTCCATTTTTAAGGCTAAAAAAATGTTATATGAGTTAATTTTTAATAATTAAAAATGTATACGTTTTTAGTGTGTTTGATTTTTTATAGCATTCAATTTCTCTCTATATTTGGAATTTTATTAAAAACCGAAACTCACAGGTGAAACACCCTGCACGCATCATGTATATCATAACATTCTGTGTATTATAATTATTATTATTTATTTGTGTATCTGAAAATGTACTCAAATTATTCAAAAAAGGATAACTATTATTTGTAGAACTGCAGTTTTATACGTAAACAAGTTATAAAATCGTGTACAAAGTGGTTGTAGCCAAATTATTTGGTGGAATTTCAGGATTCAAGCTTGTTTAAACTTCCTGACAATAAGACGTTTAAATTACTTCATACTATTTAATAATCAATATTAGAGTACAACATGATGCACACTATTTTGTACTTTAATTTTTTTATCTGAAAAAATCTTCATACAAATGCACTCTAATTGGCAATATTTTTGCTCAAGTATAAGATCGTTTTCTTAAAAATTCGTTCTATTCTTTTGTTATTGTGCTATACAAAAAAGTTGAAATTATACAATAGTGTTTGTGGCGAATCAAATTTGTACTATACAGTAGACGAGATCATTTTTGTCGTATTCTTATTTTGTATTATTACATTATTCTAACCTAACCCAGATAACCATCACTTATATTATTGTAAACGTATTTTTACAGATTATATCCTACTGAAATAAAAATGATTAGGTATATTAATATTACATCGTACAGACCTATATGGTGGTTATTTTAACAGTAAATTCCTTTTTTTTATTTAGTCAATTTTTGTGTTTTTGCATAAATTATTACATGAAGTTTGTGTAATAGGTAAACAGTACCTATATATTATTTACCTATACACAAAAAATCTAAAAAGTCTAAATTTAATGGGACGTATAATATTATAGAGAGAAGAATGTCAAATGTTTGATATATATTTTAAATGAAATTCTATTAAAAATATTTAGTAAAAAAACTTTCTTTTATTTTATGTGTACACACACTAAATTATAAAACCAACAAGTCCCTGTGTTTTTTTTTTTTTTTTTGTAAATGACAGTAACTTATCTAAAGAATGTTTATAGTTTCAACCGAGGACACGAAAAGAAACAAAACAAGCAATTCAATCCCTTTATCTATGATTATTGTAACATTAAAACACCCACGAGCAGTCTAATTTTGAACGATTTACATAACACAATTTATAATCAGCTGCGTTATTTATTTAATCTTTATTATTATTAATTATTATTATGCATTTGTATTTTATTAACAATTATTATTTAGATCCAAAATATAATAACATGTTTGTAAATGGGAACTATAGAAGACGCCGAAGAATGAAAAGACCATATAGAACAACACCTTACAGTACACCTGGAACTTATTTTGGACCCGATTATAGTAGAGGCATTTTAGGATCACACCCGACAAGTTTTGGTTCAAATCCTAATATAACATCGAGATTTGACCACAGGTATGATATTTTTAACAACAATTATTATTGTAGTTATGCATTGCATATTTAATAACTGATATTATTATTTCAGTAACAGTTGGCCTATATCACCCTATACAGCAGGTCCTCAAACGCATCAATTGCATTTTCCATCTCAGGTAACTTTTAGTTATTCATTCCTGGAGTTTAATAACGAAATTGTAATATAAATAAATAATAAATGTACAAATGAAATAACACCTATATAGTATACAGAGGGAGCGAGAGATCCAATTTATGTTAGACGCACTCGCTATTTCAGAATACACTAACATTCTTGGAAACATTTATATATTTCTTTTATATAATTTTAAGTCGTTACAAAATTACTTTTTTAGAAAAAATTATGTTTATTATTGTTATTATTTCTTAATTTTTTACTCTTTGGTGACAATATACATTTTTAATTTCGTAATACGAATAATATTCTTTAGAGTATTTCGATCTATAAAAATCAAATTTTAGTGTATTAGTTACAGTTAATTATTGTTTACACTTTTTATAAGTGAAGTAATGGATTAAAATTTTGTAGGGTACCAGGTAACTTTGAATATTCATAAGTTACTTGTTTAAAAATCGATTTTTATGTATCAAAGTACCTACTCCAAAAACTATTAAAGAAATATATTTTAGAAAAATGTTTTCTTAAGATTATGGGAAAGTTTTTTTTTTTAAACGTTAATATAGTTTTTAAGTAAGTGTCTTTACATTAAATGGATCAGTCTATAAGTGTTACTCCTTATATTATTTTTGTATCCATTTAAAACATTCATTCAAATTTCAAACTAATAATTATTTACTGTATAGATACCTATAATATTTATTATATGTACATGATTATATTTTACAATAAATTTATGATTTATGAATATTTAAAACTAGCAATTAGAGTCTAAAGGTAATTTTTAAATCTAATTTTGAATTTAGCTGCAACCAGTGCAATCTGTCCAGATCTCATCAATGAATCATTCAAATTACAATCATTTACCAACAACTATGGGTAAGAAAAATCAAAATAAAATTACCTTTATAATATATATACTATTTTAATTTTAATTTATTGATTGTATTATATATTTTTAGCAAGTTCAAATATGACATTTGGTGGGACATATCCACAATGTCAACGGCGTCCACAACAAGAAGTTTTACCAGATACTACTCTTCAGTATTCTTATTGGGCCACATCAACATCTTCTCCAGATCATATGATATCTGGTATTAATTATTCAGATCATTCATATTTAAATATACCAATAATTTTTAAATATTAATATTTTTTATTCATTTAGTGAAAGATGAACATTTGAATTTATTGGAAAAAACTCAAGATACATTGAACCTTGATCATTTTGACGTACAAACCCCAAATGTAGATTTTGAAGTTACAGATTCGCGACAAAAATGTTATTTATGAAAAATGATTTGTGATTATATTTAAACACTCATTTATTTATGGTTCTATGATATAATTTTTATACATAATACATTAATAATAAGTAACAAAGAAATGTAACTTGGTATGAATAACTTAGTGTTTTTATCTGAATTCAAAGTTTATATAATTATTAATTTATGAATTACTAATATTATAGTAAGTGTTACTAAGGGGATTCTAAGAGGCAGGCCAAGTTTAAAACATTAATTATTATAAAGTAAATACCTAAGTAAAATATAATTTAATTAAAAAAAAAAAAATAATAATAATATTGATTTTGTCAATTTATAAGTGTTAACAAGGACCTATAGCACTTGTTTATACTTAGATGTGTTATTTATAAATTATTTTTTTTAGTTTAATGTTAAAGAAATAAAACATTTTATTTCTTTAATTGTTACCACATGATTTAATTTGTATATATACCAAAAAAATTGAATTAACCTTATTAAAATATTTTTAGTATTAACAGTCAGTATTATATTGTTAAGGAAAAGAGTATATTTTTATGTCAATTTTAAAATTCATAAATAATAATAATTTAAGTATAATTAGACTTACTTAACATTTTAAAAGTACAAACAAAAATTAATAATTTAAATAATAAACAAATAAAATTAAGTCTGCCTCTGATATATAAATATTATTTATATTACTTTTGTATTTTTGTATTATAAAATATTAGGTTTTTATAGCCATTATTAATTTTTTAAGTAGGTGCCTACCTATCTTATTGTTAAACACAAATATTTACATTAAGTGCCTTATATTTAACAGTTTGTGATTTAAATATTTAAAATAAAAATTATTTATTATAGTTATTATATAAATCCAATAATTATTACTATTTCATAATTTCAATGTAACTTACTATAGGTACACAGGATATTTGTATTATATTATCAATAGTAGGTATACTTACAATTTGTGACTTAAAACAAAAAGTCCAAATTGATGTTCACTTAGTATTTACTGATTTTTAAGTACTGGGTAACAAGTGGATGAATACTTAAAATTTTGTTTTACTACTATTTACTTATAATTATGTATATAAACGGCAGCAATATCTGTTGATAGAAATTGAAACTGGGGTTTGTTCATAGGATCAAAATTATTTAGAACAAGCACAAGAAGACAATGCGAGGTTCAGATTCCCGAACAACTTTTTTTTTAAAGACATTTTATGAAATTTTTTTGGTAAAATTTCAGAAATATGTTATTAATCATATTCATAAAAAATGTAGCTATTCCATTACCTATAGGCTATATTATTCAATATATTTCACAACATATGGTGGTAATACACATATTTTATTTAATGATAACAGGTAGGTACAGTACCTACTATAGTAGAAACTAGGAGCTAAAATTATACTCTATACAAATTGTAGTATTAATATAAATTTATTTTACAGAAAATATTAAGTACCTACCTATAAAAAATAGATCTATTCACTATAGGCAAAACTAGAGAATTTTATTAGACTGGCCCACTTTTCCTAATCAGTTCCGATATGTATTTATAAACTTTAGGAGGAGGTTGTGAAAAATTGTTGATATTATTTTTATTCATTAATTAATTTGTTGTATTTATACACATTTTTTTATACTTGTGTTAAATACTTAAATATCTACGAATTTTTATTTAAAAATATATTTAAATATATGTATATATATATTATATATGGCTACTTACAGTTCAATATTTTTTTCTGTTTTAAGTCAAAATCTGAATTTCTTTGATTCAACATATTAGGTACCTTTTGTACTGTTATATTTGTATAGCATACTATATTTTTATATCTAAAAATAACTGAAATTCAAACTATAAAATTTACTTTTTTAAATTGATAATTGATATAATTAATGCATTTCAATATTATTTAAATCAAGAGAATACTTTAAAAATGTTAGAGAATATTTTATAAAACTAAACGACGATAATATGGAACCATTTTTCAAACATTTTCTATTACTTTTTTGACGTCGATATTTTTTGCCATGATATATCCCAATGTATGGAAGTAACGAATCGCTTATTGACGTTCCTGGTTATAGTGGTACAATAGGTTTAGTTTAAACATGTATACCTGAAGTACCTGCGTTATTATAATCGAAACCATTTAAGGATTTTAAGGTGAGCGAAAAAATAGTCTAAATAACAAAATATAATTAATAAAACACTATAATATTATTTATGCGTTCCACATTATATACGATTTTCAAAAAATAAATACAATGTTTAGAACTTTAGATACTATACTGGAAAAATAATTCCAGCTAGGTTTTACTAAGAAACAAATCATAATATTTATTTTGAATATTTTTACTTATTTTCAAATATATTTTCTTGTATAATATGTGATATTATTACGTATTTTAATTTATTATTACATATTACATATCAGTATGTTCATTTAATTTATTAATTGTACTGTAAATATTAGCACGGGGCGAGATTTGCCTAGTCCAAGGCCCAGTTGGACTAGACCGTAGCTTTACCTATGCTAATCACTGATTTCCCCATTACTTTTTGGCTTAAAACCATGTATGCATGAATGCAAAGCGACACCTAATGTATAACACATTTATGTCTATTTTTTGTACACAAGTTTTATAAACAAAGATAAATGATAGAATTTTTTTTTCCCAATAATCATATTATAGGTATTATATATTTATATCATGAATATTCGATTCAAGCATAATTTGTCATCCTTTAACTATCTAGAAGCTTATCACAGATTTTACGACGTTAAAATTAATAACCGTCTGAACTGGTCATAGCCCTAATGTTGTATACTCATATCAGTCATATCATTATATGGCTACATGCTACATACCAATTTTTTATTAAAAAACGATTGGTAGGTACACGAATTAGACGAAGCATTGGAAATTTATTTCGCAACATTTACTTTTGATAATTTTTGGTCATAATGGCGTCATGCCGTGTAATTAGTGATCTTGGTGTCAAATAGGTACATATAACTACGTTGATTTCAAAATAATTTTGAAAAATTGGTTAATAGTTTTGTTTTCATAGCACTCGTCGAAATAAAATAAAATAAATAATAAAGAATAACAATTTATAAAAAACAACAGAGGTAAGTACAAACACAGAATCTTAATTTATTTTGTGACACAAATAAACGTCTAAGTCATCCCTTGACCAACCATAAATCGGAACACATAAATAATCGTTCTCGACTATTAAACTATATTAGTTCTTTATTAGTAATAACTAATAACTTATTACTTTATGTCAATGTATCAAATATCAACATCGTCTATAAATTAATGACAATGGCCGACACTGTTACACTGGACGTGTTATCTACTATCGTTTTTACTATTTTAGCCATCATCCGATGAGCAATCCTTTATATATTGAGCGAATGATGGCGGGAAGGATAAACAATATAATTTATGAGGTGAGATTAAATAAAATCTTAAATACCCAAGTATTAATGCATAAAAGCACATTGCACATAAGTGAAAGGTGAATCCCAGATTTATTTTGCTCCAAATTGTTTTTGGAAAGCTCGTATTGTTCTATAGTATTAATAAAAAAAAAATTTTTTATTGTTTACGTAATGAAATTAATTATTTTATAATTAGATACAACGGCAATGACTTGTTTATAATAAGATAATAATTATTGCAAGCAGTGATTTATTTAGGGGTCGTGTAAAGACAATCATATGTTTATGAACAATGGGTTCATAATCCGTCGTTCTGTCTTGGAAATGTTCAAGTTTCGCCTTGTAGGACAGTGAAAATAGTGCTAAAGGGGCGTAGGATTTTTAATGCCGCCGGGCTGAAACATGTAAATTCATAAACTTTATGCTAAAATTATTTAGTAATGACTGACAAAATATATCTATTTAGACATATTATAATATGCTTGTAAAATGGTTGTAAATGTGAGTTGTCACAAACAAAAAATAATGATGATATAAATTTAGTTCAGCTGAGCAATTTTAAATTATATATGATATTTATACTATAATGTAATCAATGATGTAATTTACAATATAGATTGAGAATGTATTATTTTTAAATATTAAAAATGAAAATTTTTACATAAATCCAGTTTTTGACAGTAAATTTTCATATATTTTGTAACTCCAAAGTGAATAACAGTGTAGAATTTTAATTTTCAACATATAGTAACTATATTACATACCATTTTTTTAGACAATTTCCAAAATATTCTATCTCTTTTTATGCTACTTATAGGCATTTTTAGTTTTTTTTATTGCATGATACAATCTTTGTTTAAGCATTAATAAGCTTGAAAACTTGATATAAAATTACTCATTAGAATAGGTTGTTCAATTCTGAAATATTTAAAATATATAGTCATAATATTATTTCATGAGAATTTCTAAAAAACATTTCATAAAAAATGTTTTTAAATAACTCCATGCAGTAGGGTTTAATCTTATTACTGCTTGTATATACCCCTAGATTAGGGTGACTATTTTAAAAAAAAATAAAAAAACGGGACAAACAATTTTTTATTACGTAATATGATAAATTTTTATTTTTTCCAATTATATATAAGATACAATTTATTTAAATATAATAAAATAATACCTAATTAATAAATAATAATTAAATGTTGCTCTTTTTAAAATTATTTTATATTTTTCTAATACATTGATATTTTTTTACAAAAATTAATTAATAATATGGAAATAATGGGATTTAAATGATATCATCTTTTAAAAACAAGATAAAAAGCGTCCCGTTTAGACTTTGTCAGGACAACGGGACATGATGATCAAAAAAGGGATAATCTCGTTTTAAACGGGACATATACGGTCACCCTATTAAATAATATAATGATATTACCTATTCGAATTGAATAATAAATTAAGGAGTACAAAAATACGAATAAGGTTGATTATAGAATAGATGAACTTATATTTATTTTATATAGGTACTAGATGGTGAATTGTTTATGACGTAGA